GAGCCATGCTTACAGGGAGCACCAATCATCGGTGGGGGTGGAGGCTTCCTGTGCAAACGTGGAAACACAAAAAACATCCCGTCTTTCTTTAAAAAAAGAAAGAAAGAAAGAAAGAAAGAAAGAAAGAAAGAAAGACCCCTCTTATTTTTCTGGATGTACTCTCACTTCTCACACCACTCCTGTCATCAACCCAAACACCAGCATCACCTCTGGGCAGATAGTGAAGACCCGACAGATTTCCCCACCCCACTCAAAGTGTCCACAAGATTGGCTTTTCCCATCAAGAAGAAAAAATGCTCCCTGAGGTTAAAAACTTCTCCAATTAACCCTAATTACCCAGAACAGCATTGAAATTAGGCCTGTAACCTGAGATGCTTATCAGGTCAGTGAGTGGAGCTGGGGTAGAGGAAGCTGCACCTTTCATCTTGAAGTTCATCCACAGGAAATGTGACACCTGAATATTGACAGCGGTGATTTAAGACCACTTAGAGTGCTGGGCAAAAGTCTTGAGCCTCCCCTCATTTTTTAAAAATATTATTCTTCCAGTGACATTTTGGTATTTTTTTTAGTGGTTTTGAGTAATAGTTCTCCAGGTTTTCTAAAAGTCCTTCAAAGGTTTTCTTTGTACATTGGCTGCTTTTCCCCTCATTTATAGTCCAGTCCTAGTACAGGCTCATTTTCAGAGGAATGTTTTTGGTTCGATTTGGTAAGCCGCTTAGCCTGCGAATCATTCAAGCTTAAAAAAGGCTCCTAACTCATGAGGTGAACCAGTGTTGAGTCTACACACAGACAACTTAGCAAAGAACCAATTTTAAATTCTATTAGGCACTTTGTTACTAAGAGCCTGTAGCAAAAATACATCATTTGCTCAAATTTCTTTAGTTGAATTGCCATAAAAATGCCAAAGATAACAGTTTTACAGGCTCAAAATAGCATTTTTTAGACCAAGAATTGATTCCCAAAGAAACATAAGGTGAAAACATACACTGACACAGGACCCGAGATATGTATCTGGCCCTTCAACTGATCCATCTACTGTTCAACAAAGCCTCATCAGAAATGGTTTCAGTGGGAAAACACCAGTCAAGAAGCCATTCCCAAGAAAGGGAAACAAGAGAAAAGGCTGAGGTTTGCAAGATTACACAAGAACTGGACTGATTTTCAGTCCAGTTCTTGTGGTCTTATGGAGTGATTAATCCAAATTGGAATTTTTTTGGTTCATTCAACATCAATATGTTCAGAGGTGGTCTGGAGAGAGGTACAACAGTAAAACACAACGGAGGCTCTGTCATCTTATCAAAACTGATGGAATTATGAACTCAGAAAAGTGCCATCAGATTTTGAACCACCATTTAATACCACCTGGAAAGAATCTGATTGGCAGCAGCTTCATTTTTCAGCAGGACAATAATCCCCAAAACACTGCCAGCGCAGTAAAAGCACACTTGGATTGAGAAACACACAGTGGAACACTATTAGTCATGGACTGGCCTCCCCAGAGCCCAGACCTCTACATTACTGAAGCAATGTGGGATCATCTTTAGAGAGATGAATATTAAAGACAGCCGACATCCAAAGAAGAGCTTTGAATGTCACTGAAAGACATTCAAAGCTATTCTTTGGATGAGTTTCCCTGCGGCTTCGGAATGGGATCTACGCCTGTCCTCAAAGGCAATGTCCTTCAGGTGGAGAATTATTCCTGAAGACTACTTAAAGAAATGACATGAAAGTTTGACTAAGAGAGTTCAGACTGTGCTGAAGAATAAAGGTGGTCATACTTGAAATATAGTGACTATTGCAATATTTGGTATGACTGCTACATACTTATATTGACTAATCATGCACATCCATTCATGTATGCACATATTTCAATAAATCACTGCACCTGTTTCCCATTTTTCTGTATAAAGAAATAAGCGGTGGTTCAATTATTTTGCACGCTCACACATGCCTCCCTTTTCAAATACATTAAAGGGCTACCGCTACTTACAGTGCTACCATGCACCAACCCTGTGTCATAACACATCTCGACAAAATATCAGATAAGCTACATGTCTCACTGCACCTCGGTTACTTGTGGGGTTTGAGAAAACCCATGACCTTTCTGCTTATCAGATACAAACGGATACATCTGAGACATGCGATAGGCTCATAAACAGCTATAAAGTGAGATGGTGAAGTATTACATAGTTACTGATTGATGATGCTCCTCACTTTGCCAGTTTTGTGTGTTTCTTTGATTCTGACCCATTGAGTGACCTGTGTAATTGGTCCACACAAATCACTAACCACAGGGGCAGGGAGGGGAGGGGGTTTCCATCCTCTCATATCCACATGTGTACATGTGTATGTAAGGCACTCACCTATCCGGTTCACGGATTACCTTCTGGCAGAGATACACCTGGGACACATTGTCCTTTGACACCAAAAGGACAGTGTGGTAATAACATCTTTCAGCAAACTATCAGTGATTTTGAACCTTGAAGCTCTAAATCCAGACAGCGGGGTTTCCCATCTCGATATTATGCTTGGCTATAGAAGCTGATTGGAAACAGCTTTAAAATGTAAGTTACATTTCTTATGGCATGTCTTCCACTCTGGGGGCACTGTTGCATATACTCCTAATACTATCAAGCTGCCACTTTTAGGTTGTTTAAAATGTCAGACAATTAAGTATTTCTGCCCATAAAGTGTGCTTAAAAAAAGGCGAAGAGATTGAGCTTCTTTTTTTTCCTACTGTGGAATTTTATGCTCTTTATCCAAGGCTTCTCTGACATACCATGCATTTGGAATCTGCCCTTGACTCAGCACTGGCCTTGATGCGAGCCCATTTTGCAGCCCAGATGATTTAGTATGTTCCTTATTGCTTCAAATATTGAAGGGGAGGGGGGTAAAACCCAGCCGAACTCGCTCTGTCCATCTTTTAAGCTGACATAAATCTTTATGAGGTAAAATAAGAGTATACACTGTGGTGAGAGTAGCGTTTAAATAATAACAATCGTTTAAAAACAGATAAAATCTATCTAGAGGTGGTGCGTGTCTTAAGGTATAATTCGTTTATGTTTGTGGCTTGTGCTGACTTATGAGTATCAAAATGACTTCGGGTCATAGATTATTTCCACTTTTATTTTTCCACCACAGCACTGCCAAAGAGTCCTTATGGTTATCCTCATAATAATTGTACGCGTGTGTGTGTGTGTGTGTGTGTGTGTGTGTTAGAGAGAGAGAGAGAGAGAGAGAGAGAGAGAGAGAGAGAGAGAGAGAGAAAGAAATATGGGGCCGGGCTTAGCGCTCATGAATATGAAGTTTGCAGGCTTGGACACTCCCTCGTTGCTGAACTTGTGTAGCTTTCTCCAACTCTGAGCAGCAGTCAGTCAGCAGTGAGCTCGGCCGCCGCATGGCTACTGTGTAAACTTTGCTCAACAACAACAAGTGGAGAGTGTAAGATAAACGAAGAGGCGCACAGGCTCGGAGAACCTGAGGGACGTACTAGGAAGGTCTATGAATCAGGAACCTGCGCTCCACTGAACAAATCGTTGCTCCCCACTCGTGCATGTTTAAACCAGAGGAGAGCTCTGGTGCCGTGTGTCGGCCAGACGATTAGTACAAACGAGTGGCAACAGCAGTCCGGAGGCATGATTTTGAGACGGGGCTCGGTGGTTGCTGCCTTTTTACTCTGCTTTCTCGCGAAGGTACGTGGATTGGTTCCTTTTTTCCGCTGAAAACGAGCGGGAAAGGTCACTCAGTTCGGGCCGTTTGGATGTCCTCTGCTTTCTGCATGCGTGTCGCCTTTGAAAGTTCACAGCTATGCTAACATTACATGTAGGCATGCCTCTGCAAGAAAAATCTCAACAGTTAGCATGCTGCGTGCGTAAAAACTAGCGTACATGTGACGCAAAAGTGTTAAAAGTGCAGCTTTTGTGTTGTTTTTGTTTAGTCCCCTCCACACACAGTCCCATTGCACTCACTTTTCTGTCTTCAACAGGTGTCAGAGGGATCCGGACAATTCGAGTTACAAATCTTATCGATGCGCAATGCGAACGGAGAGCTGCTGAGCGGCGTGTGTTGCGACGGCGCACGGAGCGGCGCGGATAGAAAGTGCACACGGGACGAGTGCAATACGTTTTTTAAAGTTTGCCTAAAGGAATACCAGTCCAGAGTTTCCGCTGCAGGGCCCTGCAGCTTCGGAATGGGATCTACGCCTGTCCTGGGAGGGAATACCTTTTCTTTCAAGAGCTCTGTCAGGAATGACAAATCCAGGATAGTTTTGCCCTTCAGTTTTGCCTGGCCGGTGAGTGGAGACTCTAAGAAAAGAAAGAAAAAAAAATCTCCAAAGAGAGAAAATGTGTGTTTGCAGGGCAATTCTGCGCAATTACTGCCTGTCAATCATTCTTAACCCCCCTCCCCTCAAAAAATAGGAGAAAAAAAAAGGATAGAAAGCACAACAAACAAAGAGTGAGTTTCTCATTTGGCACTTGGTTCTCAGTGAATTGTCCCTTTGAGAAAGCGCCCCCCCTCCCCTCCTCATTATGTGCGCTAATTGACCAGGTGCAGGCATTTTTGCACCATCAGGCCTAGACCTGTCTGCTTATGTGTAAGGTTGTTAAAACCGCGTTACATATAATCATAAAACCCGAGTTAGAATTTGGCTTAAGGGAGTGCAAGTGGACAGATTATGGCTTGCAGTTAATCTGAACTCCTGGGTCATCTAATCTAGTAGAAAAAAAAAAAAGATGAAACATTTCAAGAAATCCACTCTTTTGTTGTTGTTGTTATTAATGTGTTGAATGGGTTTCCTCCTTTCCTACCAGTCCTTATGAATGTGTGCCCCCTTGTCTGGCCCGATTGAGTAGATTAAAATAATTTTTAACTCTCAGATTCCCCTTGTCTGCCTTCCTGGCAAAGCTGGTCATGTAGCACAGTACAGCAACTCCAGGGTGAAAACCCACTTTCTGGTTTCCTTGAGTGTCAGCTCTTCTTCATTGAATAAATAAATGGGCCTGACAGGCCTGTGGGAGTGTTGTAGCTCTGTGAGAGGGAGATGATTTGCCATGCTGGAGCACATTTCTATGTAGTGAGAGAGAAGAAGGGGGAGAGAAAAAAAAAAAAAAGGACTGCACAGACTGACTGGCCCCACAGCTTGGCCCGCAAACTCCTCTGCTGTGCCTGATGGGTGAAAGGCACAGTCTGTTGGTATGTGTTGTTCAATTACATCAAGGCTATTTTTACCTCAAACTTGATGGAGGTTCTTGTTGTAATTTCAGGCACTGCACGCACTTGAAAGGCCTCGAGGAGGAGAGTGGGGGAAGAAGTGGACTTTTCAGTTTTCCCCTTTCATGTGGTTCATTGTTGTGTGCCTTACCTGTGAGGTCGAACAGATCATTTAAATTTGTGTTTTCCCTGCAATCTGCCAGTAAAATCATGTTCTCAGCAGGATGGCGTGCAGTTTGATCTAGCCTGTACTTTTATTTGTTCTCCTCTTAGTCTCTGGCACCTCACAACTTTCTTTAAAAGACAAAGGTTTGTGTTTATGTTCACACTATGGCAACACTAAGTTAGTATTAATCCTTGCAGCCCGACTAGTTTCATCTTACTGGATAAAACCATTTCTGCTTGGAAACGGCACATTGTTGACATTGAAATGCAACCCGGCGCTCTGCTCGCTTTCCTCACATTTCTCTTCTCGCACGCTGATAATGTGAATGCTTTCTTTCCAAACATGGCCTGCATGTTCTGGGCCTAATGAAGGATGTCCATGTCGTGTTTTAAAATCTCCAGATACATAGAAATATGCTGTTTTTCTAAAAAAGAAAAAAGTTCTGCACAATCCATCAGGTCACTTGTTTTGAACCCATATCTGTAGAAATCAGGAGTTTGGAGCTGCTCGCTAGCTTCTCCCATCCTTCACTTTAAGTGCTTTACTTCACTGCACATTAACAATTGTCAGGTTAGGTATGATATCACTCTTTGTCCTTTTCATCAGTTGATTGGCTGTTGTGGACAGATGGCAGTGTGGTGCAGTTGGGTTCTTGGGTACTCTGAGTTCATGAAACTCCCCCCAGCCCCCCACTCTTTCTCTCCCTTCATCCTCTCTACTGAGCTGCATGAAGTTGGCCTCTTGTCCAGGCTAAGGGCTTTGTTTAAGTCACGCTCTGTTGGACCCCAGGCATTTCATCGCTTTAACCTTGCCACCCACGGTAACTGCGGCACTTAATGAGGCTACACACATGCGCTTAGATCAGGTAGAGGCAAGAGCCAGGCATCCAGCTGAATGACATCAGCCGCACATCTCTTTCAGAAGTGTTTCAGAGCCCCGTGCAGGTCCTGGTTAATGTCCGCCTCATGCTTGTGCCCCACAGAGAAGTGAGGGCCCTGCTACAGTGGCAAGCCGGGACAATAGTGAGCCCTCGGTGACTACAGTGAGGATTACAGAGCATAATAGATGCACTGCAGCTGTAATGCCAGCGCAGGGCAAGCAACAGGAAGCTGCAGTAGTAGACTCAGCAGTGATATAAAGGTTGGCTCTCAGGCCTTCAGTAATTTGCCCGTGTAACACCTGTAAAAGGAAAAGGCCAGAACTTTGCTCTGGAGTCCCCTCCTCCCCGCCATCGTCTGTATCTTTGAGCGATTCCTTTCCCTCGCTCCAGTGATGCCTGGATTTCAAAGTATCTTTCCATTTTGAAAAAAAACCAACCAAACAAAACAAAAAGAAAACCTCTGGCGTCTCTGAGGCCTGAGACCCGGTGGTATCCCTGTTTTTGGGTTTTGGAGTGAGTCAAAGCAGTCTGAGAACCGGGATCAGGTGCGTCAAAGAACAATGCTGAGCTCAGTCGGACTGTGAGCGTGGGAGCGGTGGGAGTAATGACATGTTTGTAGTTGGCTCTGATGTGGCAGTTAAGTGCAAATTACTCAAGTGAAAGAGAGAAAAGAATGTTGTTGGGTTTTTTTTTTTTATATTATAGTGTAATTGCTGTGTTTTGTCACCGCGGCATTACATAATGCCCTCTGATGCTTCACTTCTTATCAGTTGCTCGCAGCTTCTTGGAAGGGAGACATGAATCGAAAATATGTATTTAACTGGAAAAGATAACCTGCACCTTTTTAATTTTGTTTGTTTCCCTTAATGGCCTGTGAACCTTGACAAAGACCGATGACTGCCTGCTTCTTTAAACACTTCGATATGGTTTTCATTCCTGGACTCGGGTTCATGTTTTGATTAACTTTGCCTTGTGAGTAATCTGTTTGCGGTGCCTCGTGTTTTAGTTGGCAAAAGGTGAGATTCTTTTGGTCGGGGTGAGGTTCTGTTTGTACCAGGGGCCGACGTACCTTTTAACAGGATACATAAACTGAGTCTCCGTGTAACTCCTGTGATGAAAAAGTCCTGGGGAAACAATGCATTCCTTCCTTCCAACCCCAATCAGTGAAAGCCGGTGGGCTTTAAAGAAGATCACAAGAGCGGGCTTTTCAGGACTGAACCAAGGTTTTGGTGGCAAACTGGGTGTGTTATTTAGCAGCCCCAATCATTGGTTAGATTGCAGGCTGATACCATGAAAGTGATTGACTCAGGAGAGCTGATACAGAAAGTCAACATGCCTTTGATGAAACTGTTTACATTTCCTCTGTGCTGACTGTAGGCCTAGACTAGTCCAATCTGTTCTACCTTGCCGTTATTTAGACCTTTGACCTGTTCCATGAGACACCCCCTCTCCCCCTGTACTTTTTTTTCTTTCTTATATTTCTTAGTAATGGTACATCAAATGGCTTCATTTTCAGAAAGAGGGAAGATAAGAGGGTGTGTGAGGGGAAAAATTCCCCTACTGAGAGGATTCAGTAGTGTTTTTTGGCAAGTGAATGTGATTCGAACTGGAATGATCTTTATCGCTTATGCCGCTTGTCTGTTGGACAGTGCCTGCTTGGCCCGGAAAGATAAGAAGACATATGGCCACACTTATTGCACTTGGATGTGTGTGTCTGTGTGCAAGTGTGAGAGAGGGGAGGGGGTTAGAGAGTGTGCTATGTAGTTCAAAGAGGAGAAGTGAGTCAGCTGGGAGCCTGGGAAAAGTGAACCTGGCAGTGGCAGACGGTTCGGCGCTGATAACCGCCAAGGAGTTATGGAGTGTTGGCGAATGAGGAGCCAGCCAGTATCTCACTTTCTGGGAGCAGTTATTTAGCATGAAACTAAACATCCCATTAATGGGGAAGCTACTTGTTGGATCAAGCCGCACTGACGTTTCACTTGATGTTGGGAACCCCGTGGTATAGAAGCATTAGGAGTGTGCCAAAAAGGGCAGAACAGAAAACATCGATATCGAATTTTTGTTTTTGTTTTTTTCCCCCCCAGTTTTTAACTGCGAGCCCTTTTAATCATGTTAATGAAGGAGCACTACACGATCACGTGACTGCACGATTGCATAGCTTCAAAAGCGTCCGTGTTCAGGCAAGTCTAATGATAGAAGATATGGGTGTGTAAGTGTGTGTGTCACGTTAAAGAATTTTTTCTGTGTATATTTTTTTGTTTACTTATTTTAGGAGTACTCCATTAGATTTGACGCCTGTTAACGCCCAGTTCACTACAATGAGGGATTTCTTTCCCATCAGTCTCGGACACGTTGTGAAATGTTGCTGTGCAGCAGGTGAATCCGGGCTTGTTGATGTTTTCACTTGGCAGGGATCCATTGCTGTTCCCTATTTAACTGCCAGTAGAATGATAACGTGTTGGCAAGTGCAAACAACAAAACAAAAACAGGGTTTTAACACAAAATCCTCTTCTGTTTTTCTCCACACTTTAAATGACAAACACGTCAAGTTAATGTCACCATGATTCGGAAATTCCAAAGATGTTTCTCGTCTTTCTTTTTTTTTATCTTTCAGTTGAGTTCCCATTTTTTAAGACGACTTCTCCACGTGTGCTGTGCTGTCACATGGGTGATATCCTGATATTTCAAAAGTCTGTAAACATTTGCTAGATGTATCCAAGCGCTGTTCTTTATGCTGGAGTATTGGTTCTCTAATGAGAAGTCTACTCTTTTGCAACTGTGTCAAGTGCTGGTCACAGGAGGTGAATGACAACATTTACACAATACTACTTAATGCTTGAAGAGAAGCCAGAAGACTCTTGTTCCTACTGTTAAAGCAACTCTCTGTAGGTTGGGCTGTGGCTTTAGGTGATTAGGTATCACATAACTACTGACTCACTTGTTGGAGCTCTGCAGCAAGCGATTGCAGCCAATTGTGAGTCAGAATATACTGTAAAGGCTGTTGCTGATGAGCGCTGCATCTCAAATAATGGCTGCCCTGATTGCAGCGAAATACTGGCACGGGATGAGACGAATGTCTCCTGGAAAGATGGAAAGGCGAATGCCTGAGAAAACAAGGTGAAGCCGTGAAAAAGCATCAGGAATGACTCATGCCCCCTTTTGTTCCTCTGTGGAAAGAGACCAGGGGTTTTCCTTCAAGCTGGTTTGTTTATCGTGAAGTCATTGCTGCGGCAGAAAGAGGCCATGCAAAAAAAAAAGAATTATATATATCTGAAATGCCTCCAAGCGTCGCTGCTACGGCCGAGTACGCGTGTGAATGTAACAAGTAGGTGTTTAAGTTGGATGCCCAAGTTAATGTAAGTGGATTACACCGTCTCACAGCCGCATGCTTTTTTTCTGGGACTCTGTCGTGTGCGCTCGCAGACACTTTGTCCGATTCCCTCATAACTACAGCGCAGGGTGGATGTGTAAGCCGATATCGGTGTGAGCGCTACCGACCCTGAATCGGACAAAGCGTTTTTGGCAGTGCTGAAATGTAGACGGGCCCTCCAGAGTGTAGCTCTCATTCAGTTTCTCTGTGGTTTCCCCTTTCTTGTATTTCAGTTTTTTTCCCCATTTCACCATCTCTTACGCTTTTTTTTTGTGTGTGTGTCCCATTTTTCTGCTTGTCCTTTAAAAAATAAAGTGGCGTTCCTAAGCACTTCTGCCTGGCTTCATCATAGCAGGCCTATTGAAGTCCATAAATTAGGATGAAACTGAAAACCCCACCTACGCTGCAAAAGAAAAAAAATATATAAAAGGAATCAACTGGCCTCTCACCACCGTTTTATAAACATGTGGAAAAACTGTATTTGGGGAAAAACTGTTTCTAAAGAGGGGCAAGGTTACAACGGCTAATATGAAGACAGATCTTTGGCTCTGCTTTTTCTGTGCGCTCTTATTTTTGACTTACGGTTGCTTTTTTGGCACGTCCAGCGCCGTCCTGCCGGGTGCGTGTCCACCTAGACCAGACCACTGCTCACTGTGTCTGCCATTCTAATCACAGAGACCTCCGCACCACCTCGAGCTTATCCTCTTAAGCAGATCAACGGGACTATTGTTCATAGTTCACGTTGGTTTCTGTACTAGGCTTTGTTTTAGGCTAACCCAGTGAGAGGCAGATGAAACGTCATTGGCAAGGTTGGTGAGGTCATGGGAAATGGAAAAGTTCTGGATTTTAGTCTCTTTTTTTTCGTAGGCGTTACAAATGTACCATTTATGACACTTGAGGAAAAACACGTTCCAGCCCTCAGACCTCACAGATAAATGGGCCCAAGAACTGCAGCATTCCCGATAAATGGGAGAACGTGTGAACCTCCTACGAGTTAGTTTGCATGGTCAGTAAAAAACCACAAGGGCACTACTGTGACGTAATTCACTGAACTTATCATGAAGTCTTTCAAAAGATTTGCCACGGAGTCATTTTGTTTATGATGCAGGAACTCCTCCTCTCCACTAACGCTCCCTGTATGTCTTGTCTTCCTCAGAGGTCCTACACTTTGATAGTGGAAGCCTTGGACTTCAACAATGAAACCAGTGGTAAGTATTTCTCCTGGTCTGGTATCTCCATCTTACCTTCTGTTCATTTCTTCTTCTTCTTTTTTTCTTTTTTTTTTTTCCTTTCCCGCCTGTCACAGCAGTGCCTGGGAGGAGTTTCGTTGAAGGTCAGGGAAGGAAGTTGATTCTTCCTGAACCCCCCTGCCCTCTTCCACATGGTCCACTGGGTGGTTTTGTGTGTGCGTGTGTGTTAAAGTGTGTTGACAGGTGGCTACAGGGAGGAGATGAGTTAAAGGAAGTAAGAGGAAGAAGATGGGATTGGGGAGGGCTGTCAAGGTAGAGGAAGGGTGCCCCCCCGCCCCCTTTTCTTTTTTTTCTTTTTTCTTTTTTAAGACAACAGAGCCTCGCTGCTCCCCCAATAGAAAAAACATTTTTATTTGGCTCATGACTGATGGCGGGTGCTGCCAGCCAGGGTCGGGGTCACACTGTCTCACTGTCACTGAGGCGTGAAACATAGTTCATCCAGCCGACCAGCTTGAGGCTTTGACTGGTGTGTAGGAGACTGAAGCCTCAGAGCTCTGTTTGATTTTAAAGTGACCTCTGGCCTGTGCATGACCGCAGGCATATAGGCGGGCTGAGCTCAGAGCATGTGCGGTGGACAACTACTAGTCAATAATGTTTGGGTAAATGCCTTGAAAAATACAGATGGTCGATACCACAGACGGGTGGGGGTTAAGATGATAATAAAAAGATGTTCAGCCACAAAAGCGGCTTTCTATCACCACGCAAAATGCTAGTGAACTGGAGTGAGTAGGACAAGTGACAAGAAGTAGACACCACTATGAGAGAGGAGGTGGCGCTTTGTGGGGATTTTCACATGGGCAGAGTAAGAGAGGGCCCAGCGGGGTATCTGTGAAATATTGGTACTTAAACTGCTTGAAATTATTTTTGACAACTCTGCCACTCTGAGACTTGAGCTGCTCCTCCCATAATTATGCGATCAACCTGACTAAATTCTGGTTCCTGCTGGGATTCCTGCTGGCTGGTGGTCAGCTTTGTGATTCCAGATGAGGGCAGGGCCTTATCCCGTGCTTGTTTATGTCTTTTTCGAGCTCAGCGAGGTTTCGGTCTTTTCTGCTGTATTTGCCGCTCCCCGGAGACCCATTAGGGCATTGGTGTGAAAAGCCCCCCGAATGTACACATGAGGTGCTGTTTAAGCCTCTGAGCCTCCAGCAGGCTGGCTTGAGGTTCTGTAGGCTTCGTTTGTTTGACCGACATCTAAACAGATTCCTGAACAGAATAAAACATCTGGCTCAAGTTAAAACACCTGTGTAAATGTAGAACCTGAATCGTTTAGTTTTATAGCGTGTTTGAGAAACCAGCTTTCCTTCTTTTTTTAAAATTAGATTAAAAAATTTTTTTTCTTTTCTAGCATGTCCTTTCTAAACTTTTTAAAGTTGGTCTGATTTATGTTAAGCTACGAGCCAGGCAGCAGGTAGCAAGGGCGTGCTACTCCTGACACTGCAGGCCAGCAGTCGGTAGAGAAATACCACACGGTTAATCTTTGGATTCCAGAGTACTGCGAAATATCACCGGGCACTGTGATTTCAGGACGCCGTCGTACACAGCGTAGTAAATAAATAACAGCGGGCCATCCACCCGCCCCCCCGCGCTGCGTTGCATCATACTACACACAGGAGCGATTTACCTCGCGGTCAACCACCCCTGCTCGTGTGAGCGCAGTAAATGATGACTGTGACACATTTTTCATTCTCTCCCAGGTGGAAGATTTAGACATGGAGTAGCGAGCGCGAGTGAATGAGTGGTGTTAATGCGAAAGGGCTTGCATGTAGACGGTGCGGTGTCTGGAGGTTGGGGTGAGCGTGCTCTCGCCTCAGTCCTCTATTTGCCAGAGCTGTGACCTCTTCCACATTGACTAAAACGCAGGTCTGTTTCTGTGTGGATCTTTACAATCAAAACATAAACTTGGTTCCCTCCTGAAGTGAAGATGGAATCTTCCAAGTGTTGATTTCAATACTTTTGGGAGCTGTTGGTGCCCAAAAAAAAAAATGCATGTGAGGAAGGCAGACTGGGGGGAAAAGTGCTGATGGCACACTGGCTGGCTTCCCAGTAGTGACTGTGGCATCCTCGCACTGTAATTTACGGCGGCTGCAGTTCTGTCCTCGCCTGAGCAGATGCAGAGGGCAGCGTCAGAGACCAGCAGTTTCCTCAAGCTGTAAACCTGAGAATCGCAAACCAACCATGGAGAGTTGGAAAGGGAAGCGTGAGAAAAAAAGCAGTTAAAAGTGCTCATTACCAGCATCCTTTTTTTTTTTTTCTTTCTTTCCTGCATTTCATCCCACTACTTTTCTTCCTCTCCAACACACATAGTTGCTTTAATTACATATAATCTGCTATGTAAGGGATCTTCTGCAATTTGTGTCAGAATTCTTGGTCCGGTTTTAGGCTCTCAGAGCAAAGTGCAAAAGCCAAAAGCGTAATGTAGGATGCTGCATTCCACTGATGTTGGGGTGTTTTTGTTTTCTCCTCTCAGGCCCAAACATTTGATGAAACTCAAAAGAACCAGAACAGAAAAAGATAGTATTTTTCTTTCCTTTACTTTGAAATTCACAAGTACGACTGCTTGTGCTTCCTTCCCCCCCCCTTTTAAGGTGTAGATGGGAGGTTGATAGAAAAAGCCTCTCATTCTGGCATGATCAACCCCAGCCCGCAATGGCAGAAGCTGACGCACAACGGCCCCGTAGCCCAGTTTGAATACCAGATCCGGGTCAGCTGCGACGAGCACTACTACGGTTTCGGCTGCAACAAGTTTTGTCGGCCCAGAGACGAGTTCTTCGGGCATTATACGTGTGACAACAATGGAAACAAAACCTGCCTGGAAGGCTGGTCTGGACCTGACTGCAACACAGGTGAGGCCTTGGGTGAGATGGCAGCATGAAGTAATGGAAGAAGTCACTTTGAAACAGATGCTTCTGGAGAAAACTGCGTAAGACTGCAGGATTAGTCTTTATGTGTATGAAGGAAATGCTTTCTGTTGAATTGAATGACATCTCCGTTCTGCCCCCCCTTTTTTTTTCCTTTCTTTTTTTCCTTCTTTCCTGCTAGGAGTGTGAAAAAAATCACATTTCCTCCTAAAAACAAGCCTGGGCAGTAGTCAGTTTAATAAATGTCTCATGCCATGAGACTGCGGTTCTTAGACTGTCAGTCTGCTGATTTGTATGTCACTAAAATGTTGTTAAATGTTGATTGACTAACAGTTGTGGGCTGTGAAGAGGGCAACCAGGAGAAGTTAGATCCAGGGTAGTTTTGGCAAGGCATGCATGGTTGTCTGTAAACAGCTCTGATTGTTCTACAGACAGAAATGTCAAATAGCGCTAATCATATTATTTGCTGTTATAACTGCCACAGGCCAAGTGTGAATCTAGTCACCGTGCAGTTAAATGATTCATTCTTCCTCTTCTTCTAGCTATATGTCGGCAGGGCTGCAGCACTGAGCACGGATCATGTAAGGAACCAGGTGGATGCAAGTAAGTGCTGCTTCGTGAGACTTTTCTGCACTTCTCCAAATGAAATGCCGACCGTTGATTACCCAGTTTCCCCTTCTTGTACATTTACACTACTTCCTGATCCATAGGATGTCAGCTAAGGGAACTTCCCTCGACCATATTCCTCCATATTCCAAATGCCAACGCTTGCTCAAATATAACAGTTTGAGCTTCTGCAGTAATAAACTGTCAATAAACATACATTTCCTCGTCCTTGGCCCTGCAGGGGAGGGATGTGTCTTTCGACCAAAATCCCCATACTCTGTGATTTTTGAGCGATTTCCTGGTACAATGAGAGAGTTTTTTACGCAGTGTTTCGCACCATGCGCATTCTTCTCCTGAGTAACGAACCACAAAAACAAAAACTTTGCAGGTGCAACCAGCTCAGACGCAGGAAAAAAAAAAAGAAGAAGTTCGCCTGCGGTGGGAAAGAGCCGCGTGCTTGCGGTGAAACACTACCGGTGGCTGACGCTAGATGTGTCTCGAGGCGCTTTTTGAAGCGAAGGGGAAAAGAGTAGAAAAATCTAGCCACAAAGTCGCAGTGACGTAAGCTGAAGGGTGATGATGTTTGCACATCAGGGGCCCGTGCTCAAATGATTTATTTTCACAGATTAAAAACAAAGCAAAAATACACACATGAGTGAAAACAAACTACCCAGAGTTGAATTATTTGCACCCTCTGGTAAAAAAGTGATTTGATTACTTTGCAAAATGTATGATGGCGTTCTCAAAATAAGTTCTACCAATGTTTTCCAATTTATGTATATCAGTATGCTGATTATTTACCAGCTGTCATCTAATATCAGTTGGGACAACAGCTAATCTAAGCCTCTTTTCTTTTAACAGTCCAAATGTTGTTTTCCCCACAAAATATCCCAGTCTTCGCTCCTTTTGGACTGAGCCAGCCTTTTATCTTCTTTGGCTGGAATACCCTGCGCAGAGAGCCATTTGATTCAAGTGCCTTCACTTGCTGTGGGGTGTGTTGCCAGAAGCCTGTGGTGGTGATCATTTAGATGTGTAGGGATTGTGTCCAAGCACCAGTTTTGACATGGCACAGATCTTTCTCTGTACATGTTTTTGGCTTCCCAGCCAACAGACTATCACTACCAGGGCTTTAACAGAGATGTAGGCTGAGCTGCTTGTAAATCTCTCGTGGAGCTCTTGTGGATGGGGGCTGCCAGTCTGCGCAGTAGGGCTCGACTGCCACAGCCCTGCTGGAAATGTAGCTCTCCAAACGAGGGGAAGTGTTAAGCAGCGAAATCGTGTGTAACATTCGGATGAGTCTTAAAGTGTATTGTTTATGTAGCTAATGGCTTCCTAATGCTGTTTACACGCACAGCCAGAGGAAAAGCCCAGCACAGAAGGGTATCGGCGTTAGGGCATTGTGTGCGCGCAGTAAGAGTCGACTCTCATCCTCATCCCGGAGAAGGGCCCCACGGCGTCCGGCTCTTCCCACAGTTCAGGCAATGGTTGCTTTCTTACTTGTCTGATTTGGCCATAAATCAAGCACAGGGATGATCAGGTTTGTTCATTCTGTGCTGCAGCTTTGTTGTTTTTCCCAAGCTTTTGACATCATCGAGTTTCATGTAATTGCTTGTGTGACTACTGGCAGAACAAGAGCCTGAATGTCTTTTAGTCCCTGTACAGGTGTGGCTATATTTAAAGCTCAGGGTTTAACTCTGTTTATATGCACTCCGCCAACAAACTCTCCAAGCAAGATCTACTGCTGCTGTAGTCAGTGAGCAGTTTCCCATCGTTGGGCTGTTGCGGCGTCTCAAACAACTGCAGTACATAGCAACATTAGCTGCAGGCTTGGCAGCCCCGTTGTCGCAGCAAAGCCGTAGCTTAATGACTTTAGAGTCTTTAGTGATACCCTGAGCGTCCGCTGTTGCTAATGGAGTAACAACAGTGCACCTGTGGCCTGCACAACACTTTGAGAAGGCACATGTGCACCGCTGCAACCTATCAGATTCTCATGGGTATGAAATCTTTGTGCATCAGCAGAACTGCACAGTCTAATGTCACATTCCCCAGTAATTTGGCTGTGTAATAACTGTAAATGATTTGGGATCCTGCTGCGGGGATTCCAGCTCCACTTCTCATGGAGGGGGATTAGCACACTTTTAAGAATAGCCTCTTTAATCACAGACTGAGGTTTACTTAACTGCCGCGTTTATTTTTACAGTCCGTCCGTTTCTTGAGGCTAATCAGCGTGCCGCTCCCCCCCCCAGTTGCCCGCAGGGGGTGGGGGGACGCTACGTTTCCTGTCGCTGGGTTCAGCAGCAGGGACTGCATCGCCGCTTTGCCAGCTTTTTAAAGAGCCGATTTATCAACCGGGGCTGGATTGCCGTCTTAATTATGGAGCCGAGCGAGAAAGGGAGCAGCATTATCGGTGTAATTATGAACCTGGATATTTCAGTGGTCAGCAGGCTGTGTCCTCACCCTCGGGGCGCAAGTCTGACTTCTGACTCATGGGAACCAGGACGAGCAGCAGTGTAACAGCCAAGAAGGCTGAACCCTCCTCGTCTGCCGCTGCCAAGCCACAGGCGTAGTGATGTTAAAGGGAGCGTCTAGTCGCATGCTAATGTTAGCTGTGCTAAAGGTCCCATTGGAACTGTAATTTAGTGTGTTGGGTTTTTGTTTTCCTTGTTTAGTAAAAAGCTAAATGCTCCTCTTTCGTCGGCGGCGGCGGCTCCAAGTATTGTTTAAAGGCCGTTACATAAACACCCTGCTACTTAAAATTCATTTGCGGTCTTTTAAGATGCAGCCCAGTTGTGGGAGCTGGTTGTTTCACGCTAGTGTGTACTTTATTAAGTTAAGATTATGGCTCAGTAGCTGCTGAACGAATTTGGAATACATGGAAGATTAAAATATTAACATTTTCAGGCAGTGCGTGGATTATCTGACCTCTTCTGTGAAGGTTGTGAACTTTTCTGAAGGCTGTGCGTCTGTCACTGTCTGTCTCTACTTGTTCTTGTTTTTGTTTTTTAAAATTTTCTGCATCCATGATGCCGGGTCTCTCTTGAAAATGAGATTTTTAATCTCAATGAGATTTTTTTTTTACCTGGATAAATAAAAGACTAATAAAAAAAATCTATATCTTTGTGTTTTCCAGGTGTCTGTATGGCTGGCAGGGTCAGTACTGCGACAAGTGCATCCCCCACCCCGGCTGTGTGCACGGCACCTGTAAAGAGCCGTGGCAGTGCCTTTGTGACATCAACTGGGGCGGTCACCTTTGTGATAAAGGTTAATTTCCTTCTCTTATTTCAGCTCACTGTAGGAGCAGCCACTGTTGTGCCCAAACAAACTGTGATTTCCCCCCCCTCTCTTCTTTTTTCTCCTTCTCCCAGACCTGAACTACTGTGGCACTCACCAGCCGTGCCTGAATAGAGGGACGTGTATCAACACAGGACCTGATAAGTACCAGTGTACCTGCGCGGAGGGTTACTCGGGAGCCAACTGTGAGAGAGGTGAGTGTCCGTGTTGTCTATATCTTCCAAGCATTCTTACAGTTAGAATAAATGGGAATGTTCTGGGCTCACCAAGCTTGCAGACAAAAGGTCAGAGGTGCCTTCAGTTTGTAATCAGAGGAGGCAGTAACTCGGCAATAATCTGTTTCCACTCCAGAGTAAGTGGCCCCTGAGTCAGGTAATCCACCGATCTTGATCTTTTGGGGCCTGTCATCCTTCTCTCCTCGAGACAGATGGGGTGTGTTGCTAAGGTTCAGCTGTTGCAAACACTTACCATGGAGATGATGGGTTTTTTTTCCTCATTAAATCTGAGGCTCGCAGGGTGCTGACAGCTTAACTGCAGAGATGTCAGGAAACCATGCCCCTCATAACAGGAGGTCTGCAGACCGGACGATGCGTTGGGCTATTGTAACAAGGAGGCCCCAGGGTGCGAGCGCTGCATCCCTTCCCTCCTCCCCACGGCATACCGAGGGGACGTCCGCCGATCACCTCCTACTGCCGAGTTATTCCTCGAGCGAATCATTAATTTTTTGATTTGTTTGGTGCTCACTCATCCTTAACTCATCTGTGAAGGAGGTGCCGCGACTGCCCCCTCTCCCGCTCTCCCTCCCGCTACTCTCATCTTGTGCCGCCTCTCAGAAGAAGAATGGCGGGGAGTCAGAGGGAAGTCACGGTGCATTGGCCGGGTCAACTTAGCATGAAAGATGATTTCCTGGTGGTGTAGTCTGCCTGGGCGGGTAATGAGAGCGAGAGAGAGGGGGATTTTTGAGCGGCCTTTCAGGGCAGAGGAGGAGGTTTCACAGGTGAAGGAATGACTCGATCGTGGACGTGTAACAGCTTGGACCGCGGGTAGAGGGCTCACGTTTCTAAGGGATCAAAGCCAGAACCTGCATTTGCACATCACGACTTGTTTCAGTATCAATACAAATAACATATATTCTGTTAGCAGGCACAGTGGCAGAAATATGTATACTTGTGATGCTTAGTTTGTCATTAAAACAAGGATTTTTGTTTCGTGATCTCTCTTTGTAGCCGAACACGCCTGTCTCTCAAATCCATGTTCGAATGGAGGGAGCTGCTCAGAAACCAGTCAAGGCTTCGAATGTCAGTGCGCACCAGGCTGGACCGGCCCCTCCTGCACGATCAGTAAGCCTGAATGTGTGCACATTCTTAATGTCAGTACCTTTTCACAGAAAATATCCTGTTGCTTACACGAGACCCTCTTCTCTTGCGCAGATGTTGACGACTGCCTTCCCAACCCCTGCAACCATGGCGGTACCTGCCAGGATCTGGTTAACAGCTACAAGTGCCACTGTCCTTCACAGTGGACGGGGAAGACGTGTCTAATTGGTGAATCGCTCACCCTTTCTACACCACTTCACAGCTGTCAGCAACACGTGTGCATGCCACTAACTGCATTCTCTCACCCTCTAGATGCCAACGAATGCGACAGCAAGCCTTGCGTCAATGCCAACTCATGCCGCAACCTGATTGGTGGATACTTCTGCGAGTGCCTCCCTGGTTGGACGGGGCAGAACTGTGACATCAGTGAGTCTGAATCCTGTCAGCAGCGGCAGCTGCGGGTCAGAACGTCTGTCCAGCTCCTGTTGCTCTTTTAGATATTTCAGTTCCTTTCATCGTGTGCATGCTGCATAGAAGCTGTAATGTGAAGGTGTTGGGGAGAGTTGGACAAGTGCAGTCCTCCTTTTTATTTTTTCCTCCTGCAGTATAAATGAATCTGCTTTATCATTATGAGGCCTGTGTGTGGCCAAGGCCACGGTGATTAAGGGTGGCTCAAAACAATCGCAGGGACTAGTTTCACTTGGCAGCAGAGGGGATTGCTCAATACGCTGTTTTGCACCGAGTTTTGCAGCCACATCATCCAGCTCACATGCACAGCACTCTCCAGCTCCGACAATGTTTTTAAAGGCCCCTAGCATGGGAAACTCAAAGCACAGACTTGTTTTTAAAGACAGACTATTTAGTTAAGCTGTTCAGAATTAAATCTCGGATTTGTTTTCATGTGCAGATATAAACGACTGCAAGGACCAGTGCCAGAATGGGGGAACTTGTAAGGTAAGGTCAAAAACCCATCTCGCTTTATCTGGTATTGCTGGTTTGCTTGCCAACTTGTTTGCTTTATTGTGTCTCTTTTGTCAAAGCCAGAGACATTTGCAGCGGTTGTATAAATAGCTGCCGTAAACGGTTCCCTCCAAACCGACAGTGGAATTGTTGTGGAATTCCTCTGAAATCAAATCTGAGAGGAGTGGGTTCAGAGGGGTTTCTGAGGGAGGGGCGCGCAAGTTTCTCGACCACACTAGATAGAATTACTATAAACATTATTGCGTTGAGCCCGTGCCAGGAAAATGTGTTGAAATAATTGTGTAGCTGTGATATTTACCCCCCCGTCCTGTTCATTCTGTGCTCTGGTTTGACAGTTATTGTTTGGACCCCACCCTTTGAAAGCAGTTAATCAAATTTGTGGCTGTGCGAGGTTAGCTCCGGCTTCTCTCCCTCATACTCTCTTTCTCCCTCTCTTTCCCAGGACTTGGTAAACGGCTATCGGTGCGCGTGCCCGCCTGGGTTCGCCGGCGAGCACTGCGAGAGGGACATCGACGAGTGCGCGAGCTCGCCGTGTCTGAACGGCGGCCGCTGCCAGGACGAAGTGAACGGATTTCAGTGCCTGTGTCTGACTGGCTTCTCAGGAAATCTCTGCCAGGTGAGACACGACTCCCACCACTATCCCACACCAGTGCGTGCGAGCATCTTCCCTTTCCTCATTCAGCGTTTTTAAGCCTCTCTTTTTGCTAGCGCTGCCTGTATCTTTTGGGCTTGTTGTAAAGTTTTCCTGCCCCACCCTCTCAAACGGCTGTTGTTCCACAGTCCTCCTTTTTTTAAAAAGGGAGTGCTTTGTTGAAGCTGCTCCTGGCTACAGTGGGATACATTCCTCAGCGCTGAAGCCCAGACTCAGAGGACGGGTCCTATGTCTCTGGCTCGTCCCCCCCCCCTCCCCTCCTCTGAGCGCTGTGCGTGTGTTGTTTCCTGGCACAGTTTGTGGGGAGGATGCTGTGGGTTTTGCTCTGTTTTCTGTAGCAGAAACTATGTCAACTATCAGGTTCATTACTCTCTATTCAAAACCTTTTCTTCCATAGCTGGATATTGATTACTGCTTGCCCAACCCGTGTCAGAACGGAGCAGTCTGCTTCAACCTGGCCACAGACTACTACTGCGCCTGCCCAGAGGACTACGAGGGCAAAAACTGTTCTCACCTTAAGGACCACTGTCGCACCACCACGTGCAAAGGTACGTCTCCTGATGCAAGTACTGCAAGCTCTTTGCCCCCCCCAGCGAGGGGCCTGAAAGATGATCTGTGCACTGTGTTGTTGTACAATGCTGAATAAGGCCAGATATTCACTATTTGCCTGGATACTTTGCCCACATTTTTCCCATGAGGGCAATACCTGTATTTTAGTTTCACTCAAAGTAATTTCTTGGCCAAGGTGAGCAGGGGTTTTGTTTTGGTTTTTTTTGGGTTTTTTTGTTCCGCTCTCTTGATGATGGCCCTCCCTCCCTCTCCTCAGCAAAGCTTTTCCGATGATTCTTCCCTGAAAACCTGGCAAAGGGCTGATAGCACCGTGTGTGTTCTTAGTAATGACTTGGTGGGCTACCTCTTCTTTTCCCCCTCAGTGAATGTGCACATTTCTCTCTCTTTCTCCCCGTCTGTGTAATTGAGTGAGTGGACCAACCACAGAGTCAGATACCAGGCGCAAGATTCTTTCTGCTCTTGGCAAGAATTAAGTGATTACAGGGGAACAAATTCACCCAGCTCACCTAACCTGATCAGACGGGGGCAAAGGAAGGGATTTCAGTTCCGAGTAAAATAGAGAATGAATGAATTGCTTATGAAAGCATAACAGCTTATCTCTGTCATTCTTTTTATTTGCCTTTTCTTTTTTGACAGTACTGTTTTTCCTCTGGACTTTTTTTTTTTTTTTTTAACCACATGGGCATTATATCTGTAAAGGCCTGTTGCCCTTTAGATCTGTCGTAATGTGTCTTACATCCCTTCTTGTTTATGGTAAACATGGGTCCTGGTTTAAGGCTTATTTATAATTTGCAATAAGCCTTTCATAAAGTCATTGGTTTTACTATTTAACTTGATTGCCTCTCTGCAGTGATTGATAGCTGCACGGTTGCCGTGGCATCCAACAGCACACCAGGAGGAGAGCGTTACATCTCATCAAACGTTTGTGGACCTCACGGTCGCTGTCAGAGTCAGGCCGGGGGCCAGTTCAGCTGCGAGTGCCAAGAGGGTTTCAGAGGCACCTACTGCCACGAGAGTAAGGACAGAGTCCAAATCTACAACTGATCGCAATGTATCACGTCGCAAATCTAACACATCTCTTGCCATCTTCAGACATCAATGATTGTGAGAGTAACCCGTGCCGCAACGGGGGCACGTGTATTGACAAAGTCAGCGTGTACCAGTGCATCTGCGGTGACGGCTGGGAAGGCGACCACTGCGAGATCAGTGAGTACGATTGTTTATCCTGCAACCTCAAAACAAGGCCACACTTCCTTCATGGTGCCTGTCGATTCATCTTTCAACATGACGTTTGTTTGATATGCCGCACATAAATCACGCCGTTGTTTATTGTTGCAACCAGACATAGATGACTGCAGCACCAACCCCTGTCATAATGGAGGGACATGTCGAGACCTGGTGACGGACTTCTTCTGCGAATGCAAAAATGGCTGGAAGGGAAAGACTTGCCACTCCCGTAAGCTTTTCTTTTTTTTTTCTGCTTTTTCCACACCCCTGTAGACTGTTTGTGCAGGCTCATGGTATGTGCTAATGGCTCTTTGTAATTACCCAGTATTTTCTACATTGTGCTGAGTGTCATGTAAGAAAGACTATCCATGCACCCTCCAGGCGAGAGTCAGTGCGATGAAGCCACATGCAACAACGGAGGCACCTGCTATGATGAGGGTGACACATTCCAGTGCAAGTGTTCCCCGGGGTGGGAGGGAACGACGTGCAACATAGGTGAGTCATCCAGCTTGGTTTAATGTTTCATCTCTGCACGCACGCACACGAAGAAGTTTGCTTTATGGGAGAGCTCCGTGTTGTGTCAGATCTTAATCAGATCTGTCAGATCTGCGAGGTCCACAAACAGTTTTTATCCCTTCGTGCTGTCAGCTCTCCCTCCCACTCTCATCTCGCCCATTTCTCTCTCTCCTTTGAGTGCCGACAGACGTATGCTTAAAATGCCTGATTGCACTGACAGTACACTTCAAAGTCAAAGAATATAGGGCGTAAAAAAAAAGGAAAATTAAGGCTGTCAGGGAGAAGAAGGGAAAAAAAGCCCAGTCAAAGGCAGTCTGAGTTGGGTTGAGGTTCATGATTGTGCTGATGATCCTTTTGGTTGTTTGGGAAAGCTCACTGACAAAATCAAACTTGACCTTTCTCTCTCTGTTCTCAGCCAAAAACTCGAGCTGCCTTCCAAACCCGTGTGAGAATGGAGGTACCTGCGTGGTGACGGGGGATTCGTTCACCTGCGTCTGCAAGGAAGGCTGGGAGGGTCCCACGTGCACCCAAAGTAAGAAAGGGCGGAGGGTGGTGGTGTAATAGATAAAGATGGACAGTTACTGCCATTAAATTATGATAAACATTGTGCTACCTAGTGCAAAGGTGAACTCCTGCATCTGATTAGAGCAGACTCTCCCATCATCTTTTGATCTGTAGCTTTTTTTTTTTTTCTCTTCTCCTCCTTCTTCTTCTTTCTTCTCTCCCTGGCTGCTGCCGGCCATGAGAGGAGAAAGCAAAGGAGGAGGGAGAAAAGGGCTCAGGAAAGTGGAGACAGATGTTTCTCCCCCTTTCTGCTAGCTCAACACGCGCCCCTCTCTCCCCTCTCATTCGTTGCATTCCTGTCCAAACAGTGACATGTCTGCTTGTTCTAGAGCTCTCCTCCTCCACTTCCCTGATTTTTATATATATATACATATATATCCATCCCTTTTTTCTGGGATCCCTGCCATGTATGCATGCACTCTAAAACATGAATTCCTCTTGAAACTTTTTTGGACGGGAGGGAGAAGGTCGGGATGGAATTATGGGTGTTGCCAAGGGGTGGGTGGGGAGGTGGGTTGCATATTTGAGGGTGAGAGTCGACTCAGTGTTGTTAATAAGGCATCGTGATCAGGCAGCGCTGAGTCCGGGCTCGACCGGCCCAACACGCCTCTGCACACGCAAGCTCAGACGTGCTCTTGCTGTCATGTGCACAAAACATGAGAACAATCAACATGCTCACTGCTCTCGTCTCCCTCCCTCCCCATTCCATTTTTTTTGTCTCTTTCAGATACCAACGACTGCAGTCCACACCCATGGTAAGTGGAAGCCAAACATTTCCTGCAGATTTAGACAAATGTAAACAAGCTGCTCCTCCTCGTGTGATAGTTTCTCACCTGCGACGCTTTCACTCTCTGCTGGGAACCAGGCATACACCCTGCCCCTGTCATTCCTGGGATGCAGTCAGTTAACTCTGTTTAGTGAACTCCCTAACCCAAGCACACTTGTCCAAAACAAAGAATAGGAGTGATTGCTTTAATTATCTTTGAGAAATTGTTCAGTTGACTGGTGAGAAAATTCCAGACTGAAATTATCCCCCTGCCCTCTCTCTCTTTTTTCCCCAGCTACAACAGTGGAACTTGTGTCGATGGGGATAACTGGTACCGCTGCGAGTGCGCCCCAGGCTTCGCTGGCCCAGACTGTCGGATCAGTGAGTATTAACCCTGCCTCCAGAACGTCCCCCTGATCGCAGTTTGAGCAGTCAGTTAGAGCATGCCCGGGACCATCAGTCACTCCAAATGGAAGGTCTAGTCAGCCAATTATCTTTTCATTGGGCTTCAGGCCAGGCTGAGCCATTTTGGTGTCACTCCACCAAGCCTCGCTGCTTTCCCTGGGGGAAACCAGCTTAGCAGGCCAACGGCTAATCAGCCATGCTCTCTGACACTGATTACACAGATTGTTTTCCCTCTTAAAGGCTTTCAGATGGCCACATTCTTTCCCATTGCAAACCCTTTGTTCGCCTAAGTCCAGCCTTTAGCTCCTGCATACCTGCTAATGATGCTGCCTAATAAGACCAGGGCTGGCACAAAGCATGTTTGCTTGTTTGTTTGGTTTTTTCTAAGTAATCATTATTATTATTAACTGGTTAGTATGTACTGTTCAAATGATGCACAGCCTTCGTGAGTTTAGCCTAGCAATTAGACTTGTGTGCAGAGTGAAATATTTGAATGCTGTGTTGCTGTGCTCTTTATGCCACAAAGGAACCAATTCTTACCCCTGGCTTCTCTCCTCTGTGGCAGATATTAATGAGTGCCAGTCCTCTCCATGTGCCTTGGGCTCCACCTGCGTGGATGAGATCAATGGATATCGCTGCCTATGCCCACCAGACAGGACTGGATCCCACTGCCAAGAAGGTAGCAGCCTCCACACGATGGGGAAAACAACCCCCAACAAATATGAAAATGAAGGGGAAAAAAATAATAATTGAAAATATTTCTAACAATGTGACTGCTTTTACAGTTACAAGAAAACCTTGCTCCGTTAATGGACACGTCACCCCTGATGGAGTGAAATGGGATGAAGACTGCAACACTTGCCACTGTTCCAATGGGAAAGTTGTGTGCACAAAGGTAAAGTATTTATGAATGCTCGGCACACCTGTGAAGTCTATGTCATGCTTCCGAATGGAAGAAGTGCTGCGGAGAACTGCACAAAATGGATCGCGTTGATGTTTGGTGCCTTGTTTTCCATGAGAAGGTGTAGGCAGGGCCACGACATTACGTGTCACTGGGTGGAGTTGGCTCGGGAGTGCCAATTTCGTGATGCAGTTAGTTGATTAGAACACGAACACACACACCGGTTCCCACTAAGGGACGATTGGGTGAGTTAGACAGTAGTGCTGTCATCGTCATGGCTGTCTAACCGCTAGATGAACATTGCTGGCTTACTAGTGGAGCTCACCTCAGCAAGAAAATGCATCGTAGGATTGAAAAAGATCTGGGAGATGGATTTAAAACTTGGCCTGACATCACAGTATTGTTTGTTTGTGATACATAACGATCTCTGACATGCAGTGGAGACAAATCAATCTTTGGACAGCTGTTACCACTGGTCCAGTTTTTTGTTTTTAGACATTCGTACAGTGTGACTCATCCTCTGGAGACCCAGAGTAGTAAATGAAATACAAATCTCTCCACAGTTATGCAGATGTATCTGGGGATATGGCAGTGACAGTTTGAAAGTGTTTTCTACTGTATAGCGTACTCAGTATAATATAAATGTATCAATGCTCCTGTGTTTTTCCTCTCCAGATGTGGTGTGGCCCGATGTCATGCAAACTGGGTGCCAAGGGCCGAGGCGAGTGCCCGTCAGGCCAGAGCTGCATCCCCCTCAGGGAGGGCCACTGCTTTGTGAAGCCCTGCATTGAGCTGGGAGAGTGCTGGCACTCCGACCCTCCCCAGCCCCCCACCAAATGCCACCCCAGCTCCACTTACCAGGACAACAGCTGCGCCAACATCACCTTCACCTTCAACAAGGAGATCATGCCTCGAGTGAGTTACCTAGGCACCAGGGAGGAAGAGATTGAATTTAACAGGTTTTGGGCTCGTTTTCCATCCCTCCCCTCCACCAGCAGTCTTAAATGAATGGGAGCAGCAAACTGTGAAAGATTACCCATTCCTCCAGGGCAGAAAGACTCCTTAACAATTCAGCCATGTATTTAAATGTGCTCCATGAAGGAGTGGGGGGAATATTTCTCTCGGAGCCTTGTCTGCATACAAGTTTTGTTCCTGAGACTGAGGCATTCATGACTTTTTAGCTTCTGCCAATCCCAATCTTAAACCAACCACATGGGGAGATTAATTTCAGGATGATATGGATTTTGAGCTGAACAGGACCACTGGCGACTCTGTCACCACATAGAATGATCACTTGCCAGTTGCCTAACAAGCATGACAGCAGATAGTGACAAGCATATGAGTTTGCGGTCTTTAATCTAAATTAGGTGGATAGGATGTTGGAACATGCTGCCAAAATGCAGCCTTGGCTCTTCTTTTTTTTCTTCTTCTTCTTGATTGCCCTTTTTTCCTCCCTTTTTTTCCCCCTGTGTTTGTTAACATTTGCTTCATTCCCTTCAGGTCCAGGGCTTGACTGTGGAAGGAGTATGTAAGCAGCTGAGGAGCTTATACGTGGTCAAGAATTTCTCCTTGGAGCATTCTGTGTCCATAACCTGTGACCCCTCATTCTCAGCCAGCAACGAGATCCACGTCTGCATCGTGAGTACTTCCTTCCACTCACTCTGCCATGTTTGGCTGCTTCCATTAAAGCACACACAAAAAAATGCTTTTGATTCATAACCTGCATCGTAGAGTTCTTGCAGCTGCGGTAGGATGTGTTATGGACGTAGGGTTGAGTTTCTGTGGCTTCAGTTTACAACAACTAAACACTTAAATTTCACACCTCGCTTTATTATTTGCTTTTAGTCGACTGACGACCACCGCTTGGACGGGAGCCCCGTTAAAAAGATCACAGAAAGGATAATTGACCTGGTTAGCAAGCATAACGGGAACAACACGATCATCTCCGCCATCGCAGAAGTGCGTGTGCCAAGCCCCAGCAAAACTGGTATGAACTGAAACTATTTGTTTGATTATGAAGTTTTCCACACTTGCACACACCTGCATGTGCTGAAATGGGTGGGAGGATTTTTTCAATTTTTTTTCTCTCTAAAGATCAGATCATGAGATAGAGCCAAGCCCTAAAAGTGACAACATAGCTGCACACCAAAGAAAAAACATTCCATGTATATGTAAACTGATTCCTTAACCTCCCACACGACTCATGGCAGTTGTGATGGAGCTTAAAAAGAATCTAGCCAGGATCTTCAATGGAAAGAGCAGAGCTGCTTGGCTACATGGCTTTAGATTGGCTCGCGGTACAACTGGCTGGACTTTTAGTCAGACTCCCACTTGTGTTCACCATTCATCAGTACGGTGACAGCAGACTGCTGCCACAGCCAAGTAGAAGCAGCCTCCTCTTCAGCTCCAGGCTTGGAGGTCAGGTTGTTCTGGCAAAAGCGCATTAATGACTGAGCTAGCTTGATGCATTAATACAGAAATCCTACTATTCACCGTTTGAGTCAATTCTTTTTTTTATTTGTGGTCTCTTTCTAACTTGTCATTGTTTTCTTCTTCCAGATTACCTAGTGCCCCTTCTCAGCTCCATTTTCATTGTCATCTGGGTCCTCGTGCTGGTCTCCATTTTGCTGTGGTGCATGCGCCGGCGGCGGAAACAGAGCAACCACAACGGGACATCAGCGACCAGCTCAGAGGACAACACGACCAACAACGTCCGGGAGCAGCTTAACCAGATCAAGAACCCTATAGAGAAGCACGTGGGCCTCACAGTGGCCATTAAAGACTATGAAAATAAGAACTCCATCATTGCCAAAATAAGGACAAATCATCCCGAGGGAGATGAGGACGACAAGGAGAGGCACTTGCAGAAGGGCCGCTTTGCCAAACAGCCAGCATACACACTGGTGGAGAGGGACGAGAAGGCGACCATCTCCAATCCCAACTCGACATCCAAGCACGCTAATTGGACTAACAAACAGGACAATAGAGACTTGGAGACAGCAAACAGCATAAACAGGATGGACTACATTGTATAGCAGACAGCTGTGTTGCTGTGCAACCTAGCCTTACGCCTTCACACCCAGGTGGTGGGTGAAACTGGGGGAGCTTTGGCATGTGTAAATAGTCATGTCAGTTGTGACCCCCCCTCCTCCCCCTCAGTATTTTCAGATATTTCCCCGTGCTAATTTAAGTTTTGACAAGCTGGCTTACACTGGCAGTGACAGTTGCTTTGGTTGGCTGGAAACACAAAGCACTGGTATACATTTCACTGTAGAACTAGTTGCAAACGTGTCCTCCTATGCATTTCATTTCCCCGTTTCCTTTTTCTTTTTTTTTAGCGGACACATTTAAGGGGCTCCTGGTGTAATTGTTGTACAATGAGTTTAAACTACCCGACGTGTTCAACACTAGAGCTAATTATTTTTAGTATGTGTTTGAATTTTTTCTAGTTCTATTTGGAGAAAGTGCTTTTTCAGCTTTAGACTTCAGCAACTGTCAAATGAGACAAAAAAAAAAAAAAAAAGATCAACTTTATTATTTATTTTTATTTTTAGGGTTGGGTGGGGAGGGAGATGAAAGGGGTTCAATGTCAGCAGTTGCTGTCAATATGAAGAATTTATGTGACAATTTAGAACGTGTAGATATGTACATTTTTTTTTTTTATTAATCATTGTGTATATTTGATTTATTAACTTAATAATCAAGAGCCTTAAGATATCATTCCTTTTTATTTATACGTTCCAGTTTAGTTTGAAGGTTTTGATAGCTGTGGAAGCCTACCATTTCTTTCAAGGTTTTTTTTTGTTTTGTTTTGTTTCCAATGCATTCAATAAAAGCCAAATTTCAGAGAAGACAAAAGATGGGTGCTTTGGCCCTGAAAGAAACACTTCATTTTTGTTTCCCTCCCATACACACGTTGGACATTTCATTATTTGTTGCCAGGACCTTAATTGTAGACAAGTGAGGTTAGGACAACAAAAGATCACGGCTGCTGCAAGGGTTGGACATGGTGGCAGACACATTGCTTGCCACTAATGGATAAATACTTAAGGGAACAAAAATTCTTCAGCAGCTTCAGTTTAACCCAGACGTATTTCAAAGGCTGTCGAAATCAACCAAGTTGCGAGGCAAGTCACATCAGTATGACACGCCAGAATTCCCATCTGCTTTAGTCAGCATAATATCATAAGCTAGACTGTGAGTACTTGAACAGTAGGGGAGCAATGGGAACACTGTAGTATCAGATAAATACACTGCCTTGCTCTGCAAGAGTCCGCTTTGTTTCTGTGCACATTTTGTTTCTTTTTAAAAATTGAGGCTCTTAAAGACAAACATGTTTTATCTCATTTGTTAACCCTTTGAGATCGTGGCAACACTTTGTCCCTTTTCTTTTTTTGACTTTGTGTTATGAACTTGAGAATTATGTGTTGATCTGGCAATATATTTTTGAAAGTCATATTTATTAAATATTTTGTATGAAACGAGAATTAAAGTTGTCTCTGTTCTGGAGAGAGAGTGACGAGTCTGATGCATTGAGCCAAACGTGTTGGAGCATATTCAAGATCTCTCGTGGCGTGGGAACTACAGCTAACTACAGACGCAGTACTCATAACGCTCAGATATTGTAGCCCTTTATGGTCTGGTTAAGATACTGTAGCAAGCTCTTTTTAAAAAAAAAAAAAAAGTTAGGCTGGAGAAGCCTAAGCTGTGGAGTAAAAGTGATTTATTATGTTCTTTCTTTATTTTTTTGGGCAAACTCTTCTTGCCAGAATTAAAACAAAGACGAGAGATTACAACACCCCTTGAGAAAGATCCTCAACATGTTGGGACTAATAGCTGATAGCTGAACTGGCTCCTAGTCGTGACACTCAGGTTGTAACCACTAATACTTTTTTTCCAATTTTTGGACAGACCCCACTGTCGAACTGCCACAAGCAGCATTTGGTTTGGACTCTGTGAGAGGAAAACAATGCAATGAGATCTGTGCCGGCTGCTTTCCCAAAATTCTCTGTGAATTTTACACAATGATTCAAATGGGGCTTTTTTTTGTTTTGTTTTGACTGAGGGAAAAATTTATTTATATCGAAATGTCTTTCCAGTAAAATAAAACAGGAGTAAAATTTTCAGTCAACATTTTGTTGTGAAATAGAAATACTGGGTTGTAAACGGAGCTGACGGTAGGCTCTCTCTCTGGGCTCGGGCCAGTGGACAGACTTAAGGACCTATACCAAGCGGCGGCTGGTGACAGCAGCTGTTGTTCAACCTCTGATTTGAAAACTGATCACGTTCCTGCATTTAGTTGGTTTAGGTTAAAAAAAAAAAAGCAGCACAGTATGTTTCCACTTATAGATTTGTTTTCAGGTGCTTAGCAACTAACTGGTATATGAAAAATATCTAGCTACAAAACACTTTTTTTGAGAATGGGGTGATGAAATAAACCTGGAAACAGCAATCAATCATGCTCGAGCTTCGGCGGGTAAACTGGACAGTTTTGAGACACGTAGGAGCCAGTATTTGAGTCTGAAAGCCATGACGTACTGCATGGCTCCTGCCTGTCTGAAATCCCCAATCTTTAACACAAAACCAAATCTTAACTCCAATTAAAGGTTTTTGACTTTCATTTGCGAGCTGCTCTTGACCACCACTACTTATGGGTGGAGGCAGAGATCCGTTTCAAGTATTTGACAAAGCATAACTCAAATGCACATGTATCAGTTGCCATAATGTGTTCAGCATTTGATCTGTGCGTGTGCAGCATATGTGAAAAGAACAGATATCGCAGTAAAAAGTGACACAAGCACAAATGCAAGTCATCTGAGCAGACCACATGGACAGTATGGGGGAAGCATGTAGTCTGACAGAGTCTCATCTCTATTTCTGTGGCGTCAGGCATCTTTACTGTAGCCTGTCTCTCTCTCCCCCTCAGGACCTCTTCAGTCGTCGTAATCTAGAGGTTCTGGGCACATTTTCACTCCACTCCTCTCCGAGTGTGGATCTGGAACCAATAGAGGAGCCTGAGGATGCAGGCTTGACAGATAGGCTCCTCAGACTTGCGGCCAGCCTGTTTTGGTTTGTCTGTGCCGTGTTATTGCTTGTGAGGGAGAGCCTTTGGGCTCGTTTCCCTGGAGTAAGCAGCTCTACTTCCAGTGTGGTTTTCTTGCACTCTGAGACAGGGGAAGCCTGGGACTCTGCCTTGGCTTCAAGTGGAGGGAGGGGTGGCAGAGGAAGGAGGTCGTGCTTGGATGTTTGTGCAGAGTAAGTTTGCATTAGGGCTGGAGGTCTTCCAAGGCACGTCCTCTTGGCCCCGTGTGGGTGAGGGTCTTCCCCAGCATCACTCAGCTTGCACCTCTTGCTCGTGCTGGTCTCCTGACTGATTTCATTTTGGCAGAAACCTGCTGAGGTCCCATTTAGGTTGATACAGTCTGGAAGATCGTTCTCAGCATGCCGTTCCTGCTTTTGAGTAGTCCCAATTAGAGCTCCTGCTACAGTTAATGCACTGGAGCAAGGCACCTTGTGGTTTGCCTCTGACAGGACCTTCTGTTCAGATCTGGACAGACTCACTGAGCCTGATTCTGACTTGACAACTTGAAGTTCCGGTTTCTGGTTTTCAGCACAGACTCTCTGGTCAATCTGCTGCTCTGCCATAGTGGAACCACAAAGGTCTTGCTGGACACTGGCTTGTTTGGCTCTGAGAAAGAAACAAAAATGGGTATAAAGGATATAAACAGATACTTGAGTGTCCTCTCTGACTGGTGGGGTTGGAAAGTTCTGCATTAGATCATACTTACATCTTTTGAAGCACAGTCTTTGTTTTCGTGGGGCTGTTTAAAGGCTCTTGGGTTTCTCCCACACTGGAAAAATATTCCGATCTGCTTTGTTCGCACAGCTCAGTCTAAAGAGGACAAACAGAATCAGTGTAAACACAAATATTATTACTGGCATACCCTGGAAACATTTCGCCTCACAGTGCTGTCATCATCCTTCATTGAACACCTTCATTAAATCCATTAGACTAAAAACTAAGAGTTCATGTCAGATTGTCTGAAGTTCAATCAATGTAGTCACCTTATTATTTAAACTATGATGCTGCCCAACATGAAAGATGAAAGGGCCTTCAGAGAGAGTAGCCGCTGCCCCCCGCACCCACCGTAAACTCCCCAAATCCTCCACCTCAAAGTTTGAAACGAATCACTGGCTCATTATGGCGTGACAATTGTTCAGGCTACACTACCTGAGGTTTAAAATAATGCTCTCAGCCTTAGGCAGAGTTACGAAACGGTGACCATATTGACAAGTTAAAACAGCGAATAACGAAGATTCAGTAATAGAGAAAAAATGTGACGCAAGGGCAGCATTGCGTGGGAAAGAAAATATTTTTTTTAAAAAGGTGTAAAAAGCATGTTATGGGACAACTGCAAATGTAAACAGACTGAAGGGGAAAAAAACCTTCTTTACTTTTAGTAACTGAACAAAGCAGGATGAGTGCCGAGCGCTTCTTCTATGTCCTTATGTGTCTAAAACTTTCATCTGTAATTCTGCTACACCCCTAAGTGTCTCTGAAAAGCAAGTCTTATTTGCTAAAACTCTGGGGTGAAAGTTCAAAATATCCACATACTAAGGGAAACCTCTGAGGCAGAACGAGGAACAAGCTGAAAATTGGATCTCACCAACGTGTGCCCTCAACAGGCCACTAATGACGGTTAATCATGGGGTCTTTTCCTTGGCTGCCCCAGAACAGACTCTGGATTTATGAGAACAAGAGACGCTGGTGGCAAATTGAGCAGAACTTCAAAGGCTGAAGCACTGTCAATTCATCATAAATTAATCAAATCAAAAAAAGTTGGTGGAATAGTAGACTAGCAATGGTTTAGAAAATGAGCATGTCTGCTAGTTTTTATCTGGAGAAGCAGTATATTATATTATATTTTGTATACTAGAACTTCTAAAGGTCTGAAGCTGTACAAGGGCATTTATATCAGCTCATGGTCTAGAATGGGGATGTTGCCAGAACTGATACTTACAAGTAATTTTTGTATAAAACTGAAAAAGCTACTTTTTTTTTCCAGTACAGTAGTTACCTAAGCGGCATACCAACCAAGTTGGGTTGTCAACGAAATTGATACTTAGATACTAACTGATACTAAAAATTACTTTTGGATTAGACGTCCATTTGCAACTGCATTATATGTGACTGGAATGAACTCTGAACTCATTGTCACTCGTCCAACAGGAATGACTGATATCACAGGCGGTCAGACTGTGGGACTTGACAGAAGCAAACAATGGGCATTTGACGTGTGTGTAAGCAAGGCACAGAACATTATATGGTGTATCTGCACTTACCTCAAGGTGAACGAGGTTGTTTGCAGCTGTTTAGGGCTGCTGCCAATGAAGGCAAAGAGAGATGGGGTGAGTTGTTCGATCTTTTCTAGGGTTTTCTCTCTATTATTGTAGGGTCTTTACCTTACAAGTGACTTGAAGTAACTGCTGTTGTGATTTGATGGTATATAAATAAAATTCAGTTGAACTGAATTAAATCCTAATGCATATGTGGTTGGGTGAGGTCTCTGTCTGGAAATTTATAATGGGCCTCAATTTTACCTTGTGGGTTTGTAAGAGTGATTTTATTATGTGTTTGCATACATTGTAGGTTTTGCAGTGATATGTACATTTGATGTATTTGCAATCGTTTTAAGGTTGGCGTGTGCATTTTTAGGCTACAGAATTAAATAGGAATCCATCTGATGACCCAATTTTAAAGTTCAAAACTCATGAAATAAAGCTTGCCATTTTAACCTATGTTTCTTTGACTGTTTTGTTTTTAGGTCTCTTGACAGATCACTAAATATTTCACTATTGACACCAGCAGTGTCGTCTTCACTTCCTACAGTTGGCAGATAGCTTTGCACAGGATGGCTGCAGATTGGTGGGCAGAAAGGCCCTCCCCTCATTAGCAGCTGAAGATGTAAACAGTAGCACCACAACCCTGGCAAAGGAAATGTAAGACAGACACCCTGGTCTTTAGGAATATTTTTGTGAGGTAAGTAAAGCTCCTGTTCTAGCAAGATTTTTTTTTTTTAAACAGTAATAAATATTAACCTGGCTGGAACACATGCTAACATTAGCTTTTTAACAATTAGCAATAGCCATTTCTGTAAGGTAGAGGTTATGGCTAATAATAAAATGATCATGTTAATGTTGGAGCTAGGCAGCAAACATAAGTTCTGCCTGTCTGTAATGTTAATGGACAGTGTAAATTTGACAGGAAAAGAACGTGATCTTGTTTTTTTGTTTTTATGTTTTTAACCACATGGTATTGAGTAGTACTTTCCTGGGTGCTGGGAGCGAGTTTATAGTTTAAAAGGAGAAGATGGGACAAGTTTCATGCCTGCTAAATTATCTGTTGAGATATTTCACTCAAAAACATTCATATCAACCTGACAGCAAAAAGTTAGGGGATCGCCACAGTGCTTAAGCTTTATCCTCTAGTGTATTTCTGTGTAATAAAA